TTGTTTTCCTGTTTAGGACTCGGTTTCCAGTTCCTTCTGAAATTTATTTCAGCTCTATACTCCTAATGCTTGTCCTTTCCTACGCTAATATAAGTCAACACAGTAATCCTCTACCTTGAGTGGCTCTTTGGCCTAGTACTGGGTGAATATTAACAAAAAAATAACTACTGCAAAAATGATATTTCGGTATATTCAGACAATAAGGCAGTGGTTGAATTTTTAATTTATGTCCTCTGGAGGATTTGTATTGGCTTTTTGTAAAATATTTCTCAAAACCTATCAATTTATTTTTTTTTTCTATTCTAAATTCCGGTATTAAATAAAAAGTAAAATTTACTATATTAAATTTTTAAATAATGTTTCTTTTGTTTCTTAAAATATGTTAATTATATTGTGTTTTATTTCCAATTATAAATTATTGCTGCTTCTTTGTAGCTCTCCACATCTTCCTGTTCCTTGTAGCCCTTAATAAGTTTTGTCTTTTTGTTATTTCTCCCAAACCCTGTTCTAACATCCATTTACTCAACCTCATGGCATGGGTTTAAGACATCCGTATACCGTAAACCGACATTCACCAGACAGTACCTCAATTTCCCAGCATCCATACAGCGTAAAGAAAGGGATCGTCCATTGCTTACAACACCAAGCAAAAGACATAATTGGCGACCCAGAGACGTTAGATAAAGAATTGGTCAGTATAAGTAGTACCCTACAACTACCTGGGTACATGGCAGCAGCCCCCCAAAATTGGGATAGGCGGGTACTAGAGGAGGAGGGCAACAACACTCAAAAAACAGTCTGCCTGCCTTATGTGAAGGGGTCATCAGAGAAAATACAAAGGATCTGCGGTCCATATAACATCAGGACAACCTTCAAAAACTTGACGACACTTCGCAGATATCTCTCCCGAGTAAGACCCCCCCCCAAAGAGGAGAACATGACTTAAGACTGTGTGTTCGCTATCCCGTGCAGCTGCGGAAAGGAATATACAGGAGAGACAGGCCGCCCCCTCAAGGTAAGGCTTCAAGAACACCAGAAAGCTGTAACACGAGGAGAAGTAGAAAAATCAGGCGTGGCTGACCACATATGGAGAGAGAAGGGAGATCACCGCCCTCTGTGGGATCAGGTTGAGATCATAGACAAGGAACACCATTGGAAAATTCGTAAACTTAAACCTGAAGAAGGCTGGAGCGTACAACGGCCGAAACGTTGTGATAAATATGGCGACAAAGATGAGGACAATAGTCCGAATAATGTAAATAATGTACATAATATCTCATCTCAGAAATATAGACAGATACTGAAGGGCCGAAACGTTGTAATAAATATGGCGACAAAGATGAGGACAATAGTCCGAATAATGTAAATGATGTACATAATACCTCATCTCAGAAATATAGACAGATACTGAAGGGCCGAACCGTTGTAATAAATATGGCGACAAAGATGAGGACAATAGTCCGAATAATGTAAATAATGTACATAATACGTCATCTCAGAAATATAGACAGATACTTGTAATAAATGGCGACTAAAGGGCCGAAACGTTGTAATAAATATGGCGACAAAGATGAGGACAATAGTCCGAATAATGTAAATAATGTACATAATACGTCATCTCAGAAATATAGACAGACTCATCATTTATATTATACCTTGCTTTCTTCTGTCCCTTTCCCCCTCAGTTATGGCAAAAGGCCATAATTATGCAACACCTAGTGAGTATCAAACTGACTGCAAGAATAATAGCTTGCGTAGAATTTAAGGAATAAAAACTGATAGCAGAAAATCGAACACGAGTTCAACACGAGACAGACAGATATTTAATATTATACAATGGGATCTCATGACCAGAAGGACATTGATAAGAACAATACAAATGCAGAACGATGTACACTTATGTTTCACAGATTAGGCAAATGAATTTAATGAGTTTCGGCCAAAGGTCTATTGGAATTAGCAAGTGAATGCTGGACAATTTCCTCACAGATGAAAAGATTTAGGGCAACATAAATGTGGTTCTATAAAAGGATGTTGAGAATACCCCATGGGCGGAACGTGAGATTAGCGAGCGGGTGGATCAGGAAAATAGAAGCAGAAAAGATACTTGTACTCAGTATCAGAAAGAAAAGAGTTGAAATTTCTTAAACATCTAATAAAGGCTTGGAAAATTTGACACTCACATGACATATCGTTGGGTTTCCGATACTTCTAAAATCTTTACATTATTATTTAGACTTTGTTGTTGCTGTTATCACAACGTTTCGGCCGTTGTGCCTCTGTCCTTCCTCAAGTGTATATCGATCTTGGTAACCTACAGCTAATTCTGAACTGAAACCTATATTTCATCTACTGGGGGTAAACTGTTCTCGTCCCACTGCTGATATCTAAGGATATCATCCAGTTCTTATTTTATTTTAGTACTGTTCAGTTATTTCTCGCCCATTTCCACTGAGTCCAAGTACAAACTACTCGACTCAGGGATTGAACTCACAACTAATATGCCACCGAATTCACAAACCAAGGCTTTTATCAACCAGATCAGTGATTCTCGACGGATACAAAAAGAGTGAAAGAAGAAATGAAGTTTGCACCATCCGCTTCCACTTTGAAAAGCATGATCATGAATTAAGCGTTCAATAAAAAGTGATGGCAGAGAAAGTCTGATCAGACATCGAAAATTTAATTTTCCTTGATATCAAAGATGGAGAACTGGCAGATTTTGTGGTCCACATTGCATTTCTAGTGGTCTAAAGAGAATTCGTAAACATAAAAAAATTGTAGCCATTTCACAAAAATGTATCTAAAAAAAAAGTAGAACGTCCATTTGAATTTTTTTAAGTAAAAATGGTCCATGGACTGAAAAAGATTGAGAAGCACTCGACTAGACCATTATCCATTTTCATTCACTTTTCCTCCCAGTAGCCCCTTGCGTCTTAGTGATATTATCACCTTGCTTGTTCTGAATTGATTAAAAAGACGGGGTACAGGAGCCGACTACATTTCAAGCTTATGTTAATTAAATGCTGAATGGGAAGTGGGGGGATGGTAAAAAGACAAACGTTTCTAAGAGCTACAAAAGATAAGAAACTGTGGAAAACTATGTTTTCCCATGTCTTGGTACATAGAAGAGGAAAATGGTATCGTATAAAGCTTCTACCATCGACCACTTAGCGATGCTCACTCGCAAGCGTGATAAATAAATGTTTTTAAAAAAAAATTCCCTAGTGGAAAGTGGGAGTTATTCTTATCATTCGTGAAGTATTCGTCGCTGTAAGCGTCTGTCACATGAAAGTGTTTAGAGATGAAAGAAAAGAAAAGACAGGGACGGATACAAAAAGAGTGAAAGAAGAAATGAAGTTTGCACCATCCGCTTCCACTTTGAAAAGCATGATCATGAATTAAGCGTTCAATAAAAAGTGATGGCAGAGAAAGTCTGATCAGACATCGAAAATTTAATTTTCCTTGATATCAAAGATGGCGAACTGGCAGACATTTTTTTCTCTCTTCTTATTGCGTTAACAAAAATGGAACGTTCTTTGCAACTACAATAATTGATTGGTGTCAGATTTTATTATGCAAGTGAATGCTTTTACAATAAAATCTGTATCCATCAAACGATGTTGGTGAAATTTGCAAGCTATATTTTGATTCACTGCTAGACAATTTTTCTCGCTAGTATCTATCTTACAAGTAATTAAGTCGTCCTTTCTTACAATACTGCTGCCATATATGGTCTGGTGTGGCTGCTATATATTTAGAGACACTTGATAAAAAACCAAAGAAGAATCTGAAATGTTATTGGTCCTGATCTGGTATCTCGGCTTCATTTACTTTCCCACCGCCATGATGTAGCTTACCTGTGCCTTTATGTACTTTCATGGTAACTGTTTTGATGAACTACCCTCTATGGTACCTAGACTTTATGAATTTAAGCGTAGTACTAGATTGGCGGCTAGGTCTCATCATTTTACAGTTGAAATGGCTAGATGGAACCGTAAGTCCTTTCTTAACAGTTTCTTTTCTCGCATTTCTCGCTTGTGGAACTCTCTTCCGGTTTTTTGTTTTCCAGTCAACTTTGATCTTCAAAAATGTAAATGCAATTTTCGATCGTTATCTTCTGTCCTCTTAAATTCTGTTCTTTTATTGTTCTTGCTCCTTAATAATGTTTTTTTTTTTCATATTCTGTCACACTCAGTAACCCCTGCGTGTTAGTGGACCTGTTGCCTTGATTGGGTGAAATTAAAAAAAAAAAAAAATGATAGTAAAATCAAATCAAATTCACCTAATACCTTTGTATTAGAAATATGAACTGAAATTTTAGTCCACTCAGGTTAGTTGTAGTATAAAACAGGTTGAAGTTATACTATCGGCAGTACGACCAGAAATATTTTTAAATCACTACAGATTAAGTGCTCTAGACCACGAAAATATAGTTTAATTCAATCTTATAAAAGTTAAAATGGGGGTCCTGTTTGCTATGTAAATTCATCGTAAATTGTTCCCCTTACGGAAGCCAATACAAATATGCTCATACGACATGATTTCTTAAAATGTAGAAAAATAAAAGAATTAAAAAAAAAAGAAATTCGTAATCTGGCGATCTTTCTTCATATATTAATATCGAATATCTCCAGATTACGAATTAAAAAAAAAAAGAAAGAAATGATTTTTTTTTTTACAAAATCATATCGTATATTTGTTTTGGTTTCCGCATGAACGACTGCCTAATTCGTTTTCTACGGCTTATCAACACTTTACAGGTTATTTAAAGCCAAAAAATATTATTTAATCGTAAGAAAGTTTTTTTTTTTAAATAATAATGGTTTAGTGATACAAGCCTTACTAATTAACCCATAGCTGGGGAAAAGAGATGGATTCATACCTTTTCCAAGGGTATTTGAGCGTAAATGAATATACCGAATCCAAATGGAATTGGAACTCGTTTATCCGATGAACAATTCCGAGCCATTATCCATTACACCACTCGCACATCCATGCTTACGGTACCTGGTATTCCCAAGCAGTGACTCATCTAGATACTGACCAGGCTTGACGTTTCTTAACTTCGCTGATCGTACGGGAATCGGTGTTTCAACGCGATATGACCGCAAGTCTTTTGGCTTCCATAGTGGGGAGGGACAATTCTAAAACTTACTACAATTAAATTATGTAGCAAAGAGAACACCTCTATCAATTTTTATAACCTTTAATAAATTCTTCATTTAGATATTCATGAATTGATGTATTTAATCTATAGAGATATGGAGAAAATGATTATTTTTGGTCATCGGTCCTATTATATAACTCCACAAGGTAGCTCTGTGAGTGTTAACATAATTGTTCTTGAGCAGATGGCCATATTCGAAAACTAGTAACCATTCTGAAGATAAGATTTGGAAACTATTTGAAATGTGCCTCCACGTCGAAACAACTCCGATGATTAGAAATATTTATAATAATTTATTTGGTGATGTAAGATTTTATTATGCAACACGCGAGTTTTTCGATATATTGCAGATAATATATATAATTCATCTTCTATGTACCGTATCCCTTCAGGATGTAGGCGATCAATGCTCTCCACAATTTCCTGATCTTTATAGCTCTTAGTAATTTTTTTTTCTTTTTGCTATATCTCCTAATCTATGTTCTATCAACCCGTTTTCACAAAATCGTTAGGTAAGCCATGCGCTGATTTTCTCTTTCCTTCTTGCTTTCCATTTGTCTCTTTCTGAGGTTAAATATAAGCATCCTTTTTGTTTTGATTTTCTCTAAAACTTCATCGTTGATCACATGTTCGGTTCATGGTATTCCCAGCATCTTTCTGTAGAACCACATTTCTGTTGCTTCAAAGTCTCTTCTTCATATGTGAGGAGATTGTCCAGCATTCACTGCTATATAGGAGGACTGATATTACGTAACAGATCGGTATTCTTTTTTATTTTTTTAATGTTTCTAACGACTTTTTTCTGTTTCTTTATACTTTACTTAGCTTTTGGAAGGCATCTTTTACTATCCCAATACGCCTTCAGATTTCGGTGTCACATTTTGCGTTCTCTTTTAAAACACTTTCTAGATAATTAAATTTTTCTACTTATTTAATTTTGGTATTTCCATTTTATAATTAGCATGTTGGGCTGTTTCTTTTGCTGATAATTGTCTTCTTAAAATTGAGGTTTAGCCCTTCTCGCTTTCCTTTCTACTCTCTTCTGTAGAAATTCTTTCAGTTTCCCTTCTCTATCTGATACCAACACTACCATCTGCATATCTAATGTTCTTAAAATGGTGGCCGCCAATAGTGAATCCTGGTATGTCTAAGTTAAATTCTATATACTGGGGCAGTAATTCTTCTTTTAAATATGTATTATTAAAAACATAATTTTGTGTCTATTATATTTAATGATCTTTTTTTTTATTCTAATGTCTAATTATACTTTCGCAAATGTGGCTGTTGTGTGTGGATGAATTGGCCAAAATTTATGCTGTGTTGTCTCAAGCTTTTAACTCACATGCGTCATCATCATTGTAAAAAAAAAATAGGAAAACAATCTGGAACATGTACTGGAAACAAATCTCCTGCTTTCAGATCCGTCAGTTTAGTGCCATACGTGATACACGCTTGGCCGATCATATCTCTTTCAATTCATGATTGATTAGGCATGAGATATTCCCGCAGTAAGCTGCCGTTTCTTTCTGCGGTACATTGGTTGGCAAACAAGGCTATTCGACCTAGTCAGTCCTGCTGGGTGGAGAAGAGACGGATTTATAACTTTCCTAATGGTATTTGCGTATAAGTGCAAAATATAACGAACTCAACACGAATTTGAACTCGGCTCTCAGAATTCTCATTCCGAGCCGTTATCCATTACACCGTACATCCGTTTCGGGTAGTAAATGAGTTTAACAAGTACCCTAAAAGAGAAAGGGGCGTAAATTAAGTGAGCGCCTTTTTAACAGATTTATTCAACCGAGACGATTTATTCAAGCGAGACGATGTTGAGAGAACTCGAAGTTCTATCAGGATTCATTATTAGTGGACACAACGATCACAATATAAGATACGCAGATGTCACCGTGTGGATGATAGACTGAGAAAGGAAACTGCAAGTGTTTCGAGACAAAGCAGTAAAGGAAAGAAGAAAGGACTAATTATCAACTGTAAGAAGACAGAATATTATGGTCGTTAGAAAGAGGGGCAAACCAAGATCCGAGCTCTGAAATGGGGACGGCAGAATCAATTAGAGAAATTTAACTGGGAAGTCTTTTAACAGACGACGGAAAATGAGGCACCGAAATACGAAGGTGCATTGGAACAGCAAAAGATGTTTTCCAAAAACGAAAGAAAATATTTTAAAACAGGAAAACTTCGTTAGAAACAAAGAAAAGACTGCTGAAGTACTTTGTAATATTAATATTCCTATATAGCAGTGAATCTTAGGCAATTTCTTCACAGATGAAACGGAGGCTTTAGGCACCAGACATGTGGTTCTACAGAAGAAATCTGAAAATACCATGGACGGAACATATGAGCAACGAGGAAGTTCTATGAAAAATCAGAACAAAAATACACTTGTACTTAGAATAAGAAAGAAACAGTTGAACCTTTTGGGACACATAATGAAGAAAGGATGAGGCACAGTGGAGTAATGGATAGCAGTTCGGATTAAGGAATCGGAGAGCCGAGTTCGAATTCCAGTCTCTTACGTGCTAATACCTTTGGGAAAGGTATGAATCCTCTTCTCCCCCCCCCCATTTATGGGTAAACATCAGGACAGACCAGGTTCTATAGCCTTGGATGGCAACTGGTCTACCGTAGAAAGAAATGGCAACCTACTAAAAAAAATCTGCCTCGTCAGTCATGTATCGAAAGACAAATGCTCGCCTAAGCGTGTATCACGCATGGCACATAACTGAATGAAGAAAGAAAACTTGGAGAATTTGATACTCACAGGACACACTGAAGGCAAGTTGGGTAAATGGAACCTGCCTAACGAACATTTGTAAAAATTTTGATGGCAAAACGAGGAATGGGATGGATAAATATTGCTTAGAGCTACAAAGGAGAGGAAGTTCTGGAGAGCCATGATTGCCCACATCCTGAAGAGATAAGTAATAAGTAATAAAGATGAAGGAGAGGAAGAAGGTCAAAATTGAATTATGTTCTTTGAATATTTGTGACATTTGCTGAACTCAGCCACCATTTGTTGCACCAGACGGATCTTCTCAATCGTTATCACTGTTGATGACGCTGCTACGAATAAGTTGCTTTTCAGGGTCAAAACGCTAAATAAATATTTGCCAATATTTATCTATGATGTAGCTTATATTTCATAGCCTCACAAAATAAAATAAAAAAAGAAATGAACTTTTATTATAGCCAGAATTCATAAGTTTTTTTTCTTCTTAACATAGGCCACCATAAAAAAATCCAACGCATTAGTTTTCACAAAAGCCCTATAAGGTAACCCTAACCACCATCTATCTTTTTTTAATGTGCCGTATCCCTTCAGAACGTAGGTGATCATGGCTCTCCACATCTTCATGTCCTTTGTAACTGTTAATTTGTTTTTTGTTATTTATCCCAAACCCTGTTATATCATCCATATATATATATATATATATATATATATATATATATATATATATATATATATATAACAGGGTTTGGGATAAATAACAAATTATGTTACGTGTAGTTTTCCTTCCCTTTTCTCAATCTGTCCTGTGACTATCAAATTTTCCAAGCCCTCCTTCCTCATTGTTAATTTGTCACGCAATGTCTAATGCAAAAAAAAAAAAAAAAAAAAAAAAAATAATACAACGATACGTCTGGAATTGGGTAAATAATTTTCGTTCGGTAGTAGACGAATAACTTATAAATCAGAATCTGTCATAGAAAAAAAATCTAAAATACTATGAAACTGAAAACCAGAGAGAACACGTAATCCAAGCAAGATTACCAGAGCTGATGGCTGTGGACACGGAAAAATCATCTATATGGCTGCAACAGCAAAACAGGTGAAGACGGAAGGACACCAAAAATTGTGGAAAATACAAGAACCCGGGAACTGAGAAAGAAAACTGGAATATGACGATTAGAATAATTCCTCGAATAATTGGTTCAAAATGTCAACAATGAGGATTTAAGGAAAAAAAAAATAAGAATGTCCAAATCTGGCAAAGATACTGGAGACTTGAAAAGACAGGCCGTCATTACGACTAAATCCCCAGCGATAACTAATTGATGACATTTAGGGTGTACATGCAAATATACTAAATAAATAATAACGAAATGAGAAGGCTGCTCAGTACATACATTGTTCTTTATGTCGCGCATTCAACCTCCCTCGCATTAGTGAATTAGTGAACACATAAGCCACTGCATGTTGTACAAAATTATTTGTTTACCATCTTCTGTAATTTTTGTGTTCAAACTGATAGAAAAAATCCAAGCATAATTGTGAAAATTCAGGTCTTCTGATACATGTTGCAGCCCCAGCCGACAAAAATAAACATATCTCTGAAAACTTTTGTTTTAAGCAAATACCAGGACCTAGGGATATGAATTAATATATTGTAGCGTTGTAGTTATTGGGGTTTCGTGAATTATATTAAAAGGAGTAAACAAATATTTAGATCAAATACTTGGAAAGCCTAAAATATGTGAATTGCAAAAATAAAAAAAAAATGCTCTTAGGTACTATTAAAATCTTGCGAATATTTCTCTCTATGCAATCACCATAATTATATATTTTTCCTACCTGATTACATGACATCGCATCTGTTTGAAACTTTTGGTACAAAAGGACTTGTTGTCTCTTGACGGTTCTCGTTTAAACTTTTGCAATCATTTCATCCCAAGCAAGGCAATAAAAGACACCCGAATCCGAAGGGCTACTGACATTGATAGAAACAGAAAGAACAATAAAAGAACAATAGACAGGAGATGACGATTGACATTACATTTAAATCTTTGAAGATCGTAGTTGACAGGAAAGCAGCTAGCCGGAAAAGACTTCCACCAGCGAGAGACGAAACTATTAGCATAGAACTTACGGTTATAACTAGCAATTTCAACTGTGAAATTACGAGACCGAACAGTCAATCTAGT